TTTATGCCTTTACAAATATTGACAGAGTCATTAATTTGCGCGCGAATGAGTGATTCCTCGAGACAGACCCTTTAAAAGTTAAAGTGTCAGCTTCCGTCACGAATCATATCAAATTACTCGGGCTAGTTTATCCGAGCCCCTTTAACGTTTGTATTCCCTACAAAACATTTGAACTGATACCTTGCCGAACCTTAAGCAGATCATCTGCTTACAAATCCCACCGCAGGGCCTCGCTCGTATTTTGACAATACTCATACAAATCATAACTGCTAATCCCGTCACTAATTTCTTTATTTTCTGTTTCCACAAATGATAAAGGCACAGCAGCCGGTTTTCCCAAGTAATTGATAAACGTCTTTGATTACAACCCAAAGATTGATTCGTTTGCTTGCACATGATTGAGTCGTTCATTTGCGCATGAGTGACTCCTTGAGCCAAACCCTTTCAGAGTGAAAGTTTCAGCTTCCTTCACGGTTCAAGTTTCATTTAAAATTTTTCGAGCTTCTAGTTGTTCTTTATTCTTCATTTCTCTCCTTAAGTACATAGTTACCTCCTTAGTGTAAACGTTTTTGTCTACCAAAAATTAAACCACTAACATTTGGCTTTCGTATGTTTAAAAACCATGTTTTCGGAATACGTCGTCATAAAGATGACTAAACCTTTCCAGACCATTCGAAGTTCATTTAACAGACATCACTTTGTAATAGTCTAAGTAACAGTGGCATTTCCTGGATCTTTAGTCATGGTCTCTAGACTTGTCGTGAACATATGGCCGCCTACATTCAGTTTCAACATCTTCGAGAAGTAAACATGGTCAAGCTTCTTCGCCACCTCGTCAAAAGCTTCCTTCTCCTTGCGAAGCTTGTTCGTCTCCCGCTTCAGAATGTCGTAGACGTCATCAATATGCTTGTAGAGTTCCTCAAAGCTCCCATCGCTGAGTGAATCCTCTAGATACTGCGACTTACGAAACGACGACATCTTTCTTTTGCAAGAGACAAGATAATTTAACGACGCAGTACTGAATTGGAATGATTCGTTTCCTCGCGTGACCGCTCTGCCTCAGTGATAATAGTTGTAAGCCCTTAGATTCCCATATTTGTAATTCTAATTTTTCCAATTTCTCATGGCAGAATACATTTGAACTTGTCTCGTCACGTCACAAAAGAGAACGCAAGCTGGGTTAAACACGAATCACAAGTGATGAATTCTAAAGTTTGTGCTAAATTTTAAGCCACAAGCGTATCAAACTTAGAATTATCAAATTTCTATTTCTATTTAAACATCGATTATTCTCAGAGATGTTGAGACTGAATGTCGGTGGTCATATATTCACGACAAGTCTAGAGACCATGACTCAAGATCCATGTATTCAACAATACTTAGCATATTACAAAGTGATATCTGCTTAATGATTTCCATCGGCAGAAATATTGGACAAGATGGCGGCCGTGCTTGCGTATTTGGTCCATAATGGCGTCCAAATGATATAAGAAACTGTATGGAAATTTGTAAAATTTTTAAAATATAGCAATCAGGAGCTCATGGTCCCGTCTTCTCTCGATCGAGATATATTCAGTACTGATTCTGCTATTCATCAAACCTCACAGGGACTCGATAAATAAAAACCACTTACTTCCCGAGCCAGTTCTTTTGTCATTCATTATTGACCTAGGTCGCCATATAGTTCTTTAAAATCTGTCGTTCTCCATCCCAAACACTTGCCTATTACAGGAAAGTGCATTAATAGAGTCAACTGCTCTCGATCGAATTGACTGCGACAGAGTTCGAAGCGTCCAAATATCCTGTAAAATTGCCATTTTCTCCGATCAAAAAAGTTCCCAGCGCGCCAGAATATCCCTTATTTTCCATGTTGGGTAAGTGACGAGACGCCATGTTGAAAACTATGACTGAAATAGTTAAACACGAGCAGCGCTGATCTTCGAATCGTCGGCCATATTTGTTTATGTTCTTGCAAGGAAATAGATTAGTTCTCGGTCCTTTTCGGAATAAAAATATGCCAGGCATTGAATGCAAATTCAGTAGTCTTAGCGCGAAAATTTAATTAAAGCAAATCAAAATTCTGACATCGCTCTGCCTCAAAAGATCCCAAAGATTTATTTGCAGGTCTTCTTTTCTTTTTCTTTTCATCAAATAGAAGATCGGCGGTGCTCAAATTGTATAAGTCATGGTACGAAACACTCTTCTTTGCAGATCGAGCCGTGATCGCCGGCATATTGAATTATCTTGATATTCTATTGTTCCGGAGTGTAATACGATATACCGCTGATAACTGTTAGCGGGCTCGAAATGTCCTTGATTTCTGGCGATGAATTGGTCCGAAAAGTTGTGGTAATACGCAGACTAAGGACTCAATCTTCTGCTTTTAATCAAAGGCATCTATAATCTTTGTGAGAAACCAGCTGCTGTGCATCTATCATTTATGGAAATTGACAGGAAAGTTGCCGTGAAGGAAACTGTCGGTGTTCGATTAATTGGTAGAATAGGGCAGACAAACACTTAAGGGGGTAAAGATATATAAGCCCGTGAAATTTTATATAATTCGAGACGGAAGCTGAGTTTTTCATATTTAAAATGAAGGAATCACTCATTCGCGCGCAAGTAAACGTCTCTTCATTGGAAATGCAATACTAAACTTTTGAATATCCAGTTTGAATTGCCTTTTCTTACGAACTGCGGAAGAAAATTACAGGCTCTCTTGGTTGACGATAAAGAACAACTTTTTCTGAGAACAGAACAATGAAAACGCGTTTAGCCCTTAACACTTCAAAATCAGACTGCATATTCTCCAAAAAGCTCTGCGTACATTTACACTGTTTTTTTCTCGTAAAGCGAATGCGTTCGTTATAATTCGATTTTAAATGAAATGCGTAAATTAAGGTGTCTCAGAAGAAAATTGGTTCAGAACCGAGACAGAGGAAGAAAGTCAAGAGACGTCAAAGCAAATATTTAAACAGCGTACTCTTTGAAAATACGTATAGCCCGTGGTTTTATCCAAACTTTTTAATGATTGTATGATATCTTCAGAATGTTTAAACGCAGTAAAGACAGAAGGGGGATGTTCCAACTACCCCTACCTCTCTCTTTTACCACAGTGGGAATGCTGTTCAACATGCACTAGGAAAATTTACATAATACGCGGTAAACTTAAAAACTTTAAAGATCAGCTGTTGCGTAGCAAGGCGTTGCTACGCAACAGCTGATCTTTAAAGTTTTTAAGTTTACCGCGTATTATGTAAATTTTCCTAGTATATACACGATAGTCACATGAATATTCTTTCATTAAACCCCTGAAGAGTGAAGCGATTCACGAAACAGGCTTGTCGGGAAATGTAGTTGCGTCCTTTTTTCCTCTCATAATATATATATATATATATATATATATATATATATATAGATATATAGATATATAGTAGATGACCATTCTATATTTTTAAGAATAAAAGGTTTTCATACAGTGATACATGCTGTTAAATGTCATTGAAAATACAAAGCGAATATATCAATTTCGTGAATTAAAATCATGTTATCCTATGACTACCTAAAGATGAATTGATTTTAGTATTTAGACAATGATTGGCCTTCTCAACAATACTTCTAATTAAACACAAACATCTCGAAAATAGAGACCGTTCCTTACTACGAAATTCCACTCATACTTAAGGATAGAATTACATAACAAACTTCAGTAAATCTGGTTGACATATTTAAGTCTTAAACGAATTTCAAGTCAAAGTCATCTAAAACTGTTTATATTTCTTTTGAAATAAATCAACAACTAAAGAAAATATAAATCAGGCTAGTTTAAAATTCATCAACTTGAAATTCATTTAAAACAGAACAATGTTAATGATTTCAAGCTTACTTCACATACATAAGGTGCCCTCTGGATGGTAGTGTTTTCTGAGTAATGCAAGATCCTACTATCAGGATGATTAAGACGGCAAAGCATGAAAATATACCTATTCCACTCCTTGGAATCAATTTTTACAAGAATAAATTGGCCTTTTTTTTTTTATTTGGTCTTGTACCTCTAGCTGGTAGGATCTTAAGAGGTTTAGAAAATACTACCGGCTAGAGGTACAGCTTGCATATGTAATCGACTTTGCCCAATTTTTTATACAATTTTCGTTGAATTTTGCTTTTTGGCATTCCATTTAGTCTCGCACTACATCAGAATCATTTTTTCAAAAATATCTTCCTGTTCCTTGGTCGTATACCTCTAGCCGGTAAGATCTCGAGTGGTTTAGAAAATACTACAGGCTTGAGGTGCTTCGTGCATTTACGTTGAATTTAGCCCATTTCAGTTAATTTTTGATTTATGGAAAAAACCTTCCTACATTCCATGTTAGTCTTATACTGTTTTGGAGTCACTCCATAGGTATATTTTCATGCTTTGCCGTCTTAATCTTTTTCAGTAACATTATCATGTACAGTCGACTTTGTCGTTGTCGTCAAAAAAAGGTAATTATATGTTGGATGAAGTTGAGCATGATTGTAAAAACAAATCTCCCTCCGAGCCTCAGTCCGCGCGGCTGTTTTACACGAGTTTGACTTTCGTGCGGATCATATACATAAAAGGTGTGAGCTCTAGTTAAAATGGAATTGAGAGTAGGATCTTATGACAGCCGTATTCCAAAATCGTCAGAATAAATTGACCTTTCGTCAAGTGTCTCGTGTTTCTTATGCTGTTGGTATTTCCTACGTTATTCGTTTTTCCTATGTTATTTCTAAACTTGTAATTAGTTGCTCTTTTCTTAATGTATTGTGCTGGTAACACTTTATTAGGAAACCACTGGCAGTTACGTGTAAGTAGAAGAGTTCGATGGATTCCTCAAGAAATTAAACTCTTCTTAAATTTATGGCTGGTGCGTTGGTTATAATGATATCTTGAATTATCAAAAGAGAGGTCTGAGTTACAAAATCAAGCTTTTGTAATGGACTTGTATCGAGGAAATAGCCTTGAATAAAAACTAAAACTGTGTATTTCCTTAATGCTCTCTTTACTGCTTTACATACAAGATTGCATCGTGACCAGTATAACTACCAGAGCTAAACTCAGATAAGACAAAGATAAAAAGGATGAAAATCCTCGCGTTACCCAGAGATAAAATTAGTTACCGTGAATTCGATTCATTAGAATATCCAAAATCCCAAATAAATACAACAAAAGGGAAAGTTATTCCCCTACGATGTCTATCTATAAATCGTAACAGTCTTCTTGTAGTACTTTTACGATGTCTTTGGTACAGTGCAAGACATTTTAACAAACGTAATGTAATGACGGTGCCTACACTGAACTCATCATAATCACAGTTGTCAAAAAAGTACAAATAAGTAACTTATTAAAGCGGAAAACCTGTTACTTCGTTATAACTAAGGATTGAAATGTTATTTTTAACCCACATGGATTGGTTTTCAAGTACATAACACGGAAAAGTAAAGGCCGTTAACAATAGTATCTGCTCCAGTCACTTAATAACAAACGCTTTTAATTGTTGAATCCAAAAACTTCCAGTTCAGTCACAAGAAAGTTTTGATTTCCTGTAAGAAACGTGTTTTCATTCTGTCCTGATGGACACTGATATGCGTTGTTGAGGTTAACAGCATTATTCTTGGAGTTTGATCCATTAGAAATGACGAGATCACAGCCACCGCCACCTCCAAATACTGGGCCAAAAGCACCGTTGCACCAGATAGAATGCCCTTCCTGTCCAGCTCTCAAGGACATTTTTGTTGGTGACAGACCACTTGGGTTGACGAGACTGAATAGGAACGAGTTTTGCGCTCTTTTATACCCTGAAGAGCCTTAAAAATACAAATGCGATCAAGACACCTTCATATCTCGTGGAATTACGACTGGGTTTATAACTAATACAAACTAAGAGTAATCTGGCAGACCGTCTTTCTTCAAATTGCTTAAAAAATACAGGGTTTGAAAAATGTTTACTCTGTTTCATAAATAAAAATTTTAAAAAATCCGAGATTAATTTTTATTATTTTAAGCTTTCACTTCAATACTTCTAATACTAATTCGCCGGAATACGATCTGCGTCAAGACTCGATGTTAGAGACAGAGACAAGTCACTAATCGACACTAAAATGTTTCGTTACAATCTTACCATCCCACTGTTCTTCAGAATATCCTCCAAATGTGTAATTTCCGCTCTTTATCACCGTGACTGTTGGCCCTTTGTTGTCGCAAAAGGAGTGAAAGTTGGAGGCAGCCCAGCCATCACGAGAGGCTCGGTATAACAATTTGTCTCTGGCGTTGGTGATATCTGTAGCGTCTTTACACCAGTTCGACAAAGTCTGGCGTTGATCGAACGACAGAATCACTGAATCCTGGAAGAGTTTTGGTGTCAGCACTTTTATTATTCCTTCCACTTGATAAAATTTGGCCTCAATCAGCAGTTCATGACGAATAGTCTTATCATCGGGGACGACAAGCTCCCCCGTGCGCAGATAATTCAGGATGTACCGGAAGTGGGTTCCATCTCGATCAATGAAGTAGGTTCCATCCTCGTCAGGTTTTGTGTCAAACCTTCCAGAAAACATGGCATGTAACATGGAACCTGGATGAATAAGCACACAAAATGGCGTTAATTGCATTTAATTCAGGTCGAAAAATGTCGGAATTATTATATTGAGATGAGGTAACAGAATGGATAAGTTAATTATATGGAAGACTTTTCTTTTGCTTTTTATCTTCACCTGTTTCTATATTTACAACGTTTCTCAATTACGTTTATTTTTTTCATTTTTGAAGTCCGGCCAATGTGTGTGACGTTCAATTTTCCGTGTGAATGACCCATGGAAAGTGAAATTCCTTTTATCTTTAGGTAAGGGATCTATGTTATGATATGTGCTTCTGGCATCGTGTCCGCACGTCACAGTGTTTCGAATCATTGTGAACGTCAACTATAATTGTTTTAAGATAGATAAAAACGAGGAAATTTAAGTCTCTTTGGTAAAAATACGAGCTGATTGGTTGGGGAGAACCCAAAAGCGACGAGAATGGCAAAGGATGGTAAAGATTGATACTGATTGAATCGACTGACAAACTGCGAACGCCATTACAATGTTTCGAATTAACTTTAAGAACCTTTAACAGATCTTATTAGCCAGTTGCTGTATGTATTTTTAAATGTAAGAGACAAGGCCTTAGGTACCTGGATCTTTATTCATGGTCGACAAACTTGTCGAGAAAAGGTGGCCGCCAACATTAAGTTTCAGCATCTTCGAGAAGTGGACATGTTCAAGCTTCTTTGCCACCTCTTCAAACGCTTCCCTTTCTTTGTGAACTTTATTCGCCTCCTGTTTCAGAATGTCGTAGACACCTTTAATGTACTTGTTTACTTCCTCAAAAGCTCCATCGCAAGGTAAGTCAGACGCTTCTTCGGGCCCTTTTGGTGAAGACATCTTTCTCCACTAGCGCTGAAGAAAGTGATGTTTCCGTGAACAATCAATTCCGGGAATCCTTCCGGAAATGATACATAATTTATTACTAGAATGGTCACACAACACGTAACCTATGTCACACGATATGAAGTACTCGCGTCGACACTGTTAAGAACCTGTTTTTCATCACAGAATAGAAGACATCCTCCAAGTGCTTGATGATATCATTTCGCTTTAGTTTCTTTTTTAGTTTCAGGATAAATTCTGCAAGTTAGCAAAAGGGAGGGGAGGGGGGGAAGGGGTGAATAAAATAATGGAGTATTCGTAAACGTTCACGGAAAAATTCCCTGGATGGCTCACACTTACTCTGGGTTATCTAAACCCAGCTTTGAACAACCAAGCCTGAGAAATAACAAGAGATGTGCCAAGCATGACCAACTGAATATTTTATTACTTATCCCAGGGAGGGTTAACAACTTTGATATGAACAATTTTTATTTGCATAATATGGTACAAACAAATGATGGCACCTCAAATCTATTATCTTTTCATTAATATGACCATTAACCCCTTCCAAGCCCTACATATCCATTAGCTGCACTGTCTACCATACATTTCCTATAATCTTGGCTCGGAAAATTTGATATACATTCAAACAGTTGCCCACAACTGATATTTTTACCATCTTCTCTACACCTTTATGCTTACAAATGCATCTATGATTTAAAGAGAAATTCCTTTTTGGTCACTACTTGGGGTGAATAGCCTAGGCAGTCTCTTACTTTTCAAAACCAAAAACTTCCATTTCTTGGATGGTAAATGTCTGAGCTCCTGTAAAAAATGTAGTAGCATTCTGACCTACAGGGCATTCATAAGTGTTGTTCAGGTTCACATAGCAGGTGTTGGAATTTGGCGCATGAGGAAAGCGAAGATCAGCTCCACCTCCAAATGTTGGGCCATGACCACCATGACAGTAGATGGCATATCCTTCTCTTCCATCTTTCAAAGCCATCTTTGTTGGTGGCAGGCCACTATGGTTGACAAGACTGAAGAGGAAGGAGGCCGAAGCCTCTCTGTATACTCCTGAAGCTGTAAAAAAAAAAGTTGTGTCTATAAGAAATCAGTTGCTTCTTGTTCCATTGAAGAGTGAATAATCTAATATTTCTTTATAACATTAAAGAGACAGGGAACAAATGGAGTGGAATCAAGAGAAATTGCCTCAAGACTGTCAGTTATTATAAAACCACTAGTCCATCATAATAGTCAACACAAACATTGTTTGACCTTTCTTGCCGAAGGGGATACAAGACCTCAAAGTTCTATAACAAACGAACACCCTTCCCTAAAAAATTAATACAATGACTCAATGGAAATAAAAGAAAGGTAATAATATAAACCTAAGCTGAAATTTCTCAAGAGTTGGAGGTGTGGGCTCATAAACAAAACAATGATGCCCTCACTGTAATTGTATAGATCCTGCAAATAAAACAGAATCAGGAAGGGATAAAGGAGACTAGAATGTGATAGAAAAGTAAGGAGGTCAAACATCATATCTAAATTTGTGGCACTGAGGTCCTATGAGTCTGTCAAAAGTTTTAAGGGGGGTAAGTTTCTAAAGAAACTGTGGTGCTGCATTGGCGGGAGAGTATAACAGGGTAATTTAGTTTTAACAACTAAGCTGATAATGTAAATTGGCCACCATCAAGATTTTCTAAGCTGATGTTTCGAGCATTAGCCCTTCTTCAGAACTTTTTTTCGAAAGTTTTGTTTGTTTTTCCACAAATTGTAAATTACGCCACCCTTTGAAGGTATTTTTTTGGCTCAAACTCTCCACCTCCCCACCCTTTGCTCCCCCCCCACCCCCAATCCTGCCCCCCCAACCCCCAACCCACACCACGAGGCTTTGGGAAACAGATCTAAAATTATGGGGAAATATTAATTTGTCTCTTCTAGCATTAATTAAGAATTAATTATGCATCAGAATTTTTATCATTATAATTATTAATTATCACTATCATTAACATCATCACTATTTTGGTCATAATTATTATGTAGTGAGCTTTTAGCATAATTTTCCTCTGAATGTTAATCCAAGGAATCTAAATAAGCCAAGTTAATGAGATCCCCTTTAACCCCAAAGAGTGACAAGCATCTAATTTCTCCTTACAATATCACCCCTCAATCACACATTAAGGTCATGAGAACAAAGAAAATGATCACCAGCAAAAGAAGTCCTTGATTGTTAAGCAAGTTCTCTTTTTCAGCACCCAAAGAAATGTATAAGGAGTATTAAAGAGAATATGCTTACTGATGTTAGGGTGTAGAGGGTCAGAGAAGAAGGAGATTTCTTTTTAAAATGTGACCCTTAATAGGAGACCATTCTGGGTGTAGCTCATTTAGTTTAACCCTTTTACCCCTACAAGTGATCAAGAAATAATTTCTCCCTACATTATCCATTCAATATCAAGCAGAAGTGTTATGAGAATAATGAAAAATACTTTTTAGGGGGTTAGTAGTTGATCCAATATCACACTGTCCAAAATAACAACATAACAATTAAATACAGACAGTAAGGAGAACTACTAATAGGATGTTGGGAGAGAAGGGGTTAAACCAAAATTAATTCTATTTTTTTATCAAGAGACATCAGCTAAAAGCAATTTACAATGATATTGTCAAATTTGTGTTTATGCACCCATAAAAGATACCTTCACAGCAAAAACAGTCACCTCACTACTCTACCTGTTCTTCTTTACCACAGACTTAGTAGAGACCTACCATGTGACTCCCATTGTTGATCTGTGTATCCTCCAAATATAAAATTTCCATTCTTGACCACTGTAACTGTTGGTCCCTTGTTATCACAACAGGCATGAAAGTTGGACGCATTCCAGCCATTGCGTGAAGCCCTATACAGCAAGACATAATCATTGCTAGCATTTGTCATTGTATCCTTCAACCAGTTGATCAAGGTTTGCCGTTGATCCGATGACAAGATCAATGTGTCCTTAAAAGGTTTTCCTTTAAGCTCATCAATAATTCCCTGAACTTGATAAAATTCTGCTTCGTTAAGCAGCTCCTTGCGAACAATCTTGTCTTCGGGCAAAACAAGCTGTCCACTGCGAAGATAGTTCAGGATGTAACGGAAGTGGGTTCCATCTCGATCAATGAAGTAAGATCCATCCTCACTGGGCTTTGTGTCAAATCTTCCAGAAAACATGGCATGTAACATGGAACCTATGGTTGAAAGGGGAAAAGATTTAACCCTTTACATTCTAACTCAGTATCCTCATTCTCTAAACTCTTCTCTATATATTTCCTTCAGTCCCTCAAGGAGAATTACTATAACAATCAAAGCTTTTTACATTGACAATCATTTCCTTTATTCTCAAGATCTTAATTAACGATTCAGGTAATTACTGTAGGGAGAAATTAAATGCTGGTCACTCTTAGGTCAAAAGGAATGAAAAAAAAATAAGAAGGTTTTAAATATTTCAGGATGTTTACTGTGTTATGACCTAGCACATAGGGTATCTGGGAATACAAAAAAACCAAAACAATACAGAGTTAAAAATTGCTGCTTTTTAATAGGTCCATCATTTTAAAAACTTGATGCTTCCCACTGCATACAGTAACTTTCCTGAATAATACCAAAGTTGGAGAAGGAAATTCAATCTTAATTCCTGCCCCATTTTATTGGGATTCAATTCACCTAAATTATGTAGTTATTAATAATTAAAACATAATCACTTATTTATAATTAATAATTCTCTTAAATTATGATTCATTTCTCATGGGGGAAGGGTTGGCTTAGAATATGTTTTTTTAAGGGACCTTTTACTAGTCTACAATTAAATAAACTCAACAGAGTGGCAAGACAAGATTTCTGCTTAACCCATAGGTCATTATGCATACAGTACTTGGATGGAAAGATTCAAAGGCACAACAATAACTACATCAGTGTCATTATCCGAGTAACTGCACACACCTACCCCCCTCCCTCTCCCCTAACCAAAGAGGGGTGGGTGTGCAGTTACAGATAGTGGTAACTAGATTTCTTCACGGCCGCACACTTCATTGTACACACAGTTCTTGGATGTGGAAAGCAATAGCGAAAATAATTAATGGCCTTTGGGACCACGGTTTGTTTTAGAATGGTAAGGGGCTGTGCAAAAAATCTTACCGGGACAGTTTTAATAAATTCCTTACCTGGATCTCTACTCAGTGTTGCCACACTGGTCGAAAATAGGTGACCACCGACGTTAAGTTGCACCATCGTCGAGAAATGAACGTGTTCCAGCTTCTTTGCGACCTTATCGAGAGATCGCTTTTCCTTGCGTGCTTTTCTCGTCTCGCGCTTCAAGATATCGAAAGCTTCGTAGATGCGTTTGTTCACTTCATCCAAAGCTTCATCGTAGTCAGATAAGTCTTCTTCGGAGTTGTGCGAAGTTAAATCTGACGAAGACATCTTTAGAACAAATGATATGTTTCAAGGAAGGTCAGCATTAGATTCCATCCACCAAAACCACCTTGGTCGAGAGGGACTGA